CTCATCCATCATAACCCTCATCCCTACCTCATCCATCATAACCTTCCATCCCTACCTCAACACGATGTGCAGACTGGGCACTGCATTTATACTAAAGAAAGGCACCTCCTTGGAGAAGAGAGATCACGAAAAGGCACAGCACTAGAGGAGCAAGGGTTGGCCAGCAGATCAGCCTCTTTGTAAGAATAAGATGATTCCCGTCTCCAGCTGGATCCAGTCTGGAAGAGGGCACCTAGCCTGGCAATCGGAGCCTCGGCCAGAGCGCAGCTCCCATTCACCTCCTCAGGCTGTGCCTGCAGGCTGTGCCCAGCTGTCCATCTGCACAGCCCCACCCACCCTAAAGACATGTTTAGAGAAGGGAATGGGATCATGTGGATGGAGTGCCCTACTTAAAGACTCTTGGAGCTGATGTGTAACAAGAAAAAAGGAGTCATTAATTGGAAAAGGGATATGATGATCCCTGGTGTCCAACAGTTAGTAGGCGCTGTATAAACAGTAGCTATTATCACCACAAATTCTTCCTTCAGAGTTTTGAACTCAAAGGTTTCTTTCAATCAATAGCATACTTTAACACAGCACAAGAATCCGGATCAGCCTTGCAATTTCACTGACACTGCCACACATCCACCACCAAGTCAAACAAACTACTTCTGTGGAATTGGTAATGACATAATCGAAACCGGGTTCACATTTGTTTCACTAGCATAGTTTTGATGAAATGAAAAGATTTTAGTAAGCGGCACAACACAGGTTTGAAGAAAATTTACAGAGGTTCCCCCCTGCCCCACCGACTTCCTCACTTACCTGTAAGAAAGCCGTTTGGAAATGAAAAAGGAGAGGGAGAAAGAGGGAGGGGTGCTGAGTTTCAGTTCTGCACAATGGCACCTTTAACAAAGCTGCCAGCTCATCAAAAACCAAACAGCGTGGTTTGAAAAGTCTTTACTACTGCCAGTTAACACGCACAGGGCTCGGGGGGAGCCAGAGCCTTCCATGACTCCGTATTTATAGATGCTACTGTTGTGCCAGACACGTGTCTCAGGTTCCTGAGGGCCCTGGGCGCTTCTGCCACGATGAGGGTGCCGGCACACGAGTTTCAGATGGGGAGAGGAGGAGGTAGGAAAACAAAGCTAAACACGCAGAAGTGAGCGCCTAGAGGTCTTGGATTTGCTACCACTTGAAGAGGCTGGGCCTGACCTGTCTCGGTTATTCCATTTTAATTTACCAATATCTTCAATGTGGAGAAAACGTTCAAAATGCACAACGCTGCTGGCCAAGACAGTTTTTGTCTTTTTATTTGAAATTTTGCTACTTTGCATCTGCAGATGCCAAAAAAGGTTAAACTTCCAAAGATAGATATCAAAGGAGCTGAGTTTGTTTACAACTCTGATGGTGTAATCGAAACTCCAAATGCTCGAGAAACAATAACATTAGTGAGGTGAAGCCAACCCTAAATTAAAAGTCAGTGTTTCCATTACCCACTCTAACAGTGTTTTCTAGAGTTTATATAACTTGATCATTAAAAAATGCTCTAGGCTGAAAACCTGGTCTGTGTCAATCTTGGACTAAACCAGTTTGCAAAGCTCTGAAGTTTGTTTGCCCTCCTCTTTTATCCCTTTTCAAGAATGCATTACTTTAAATGCTACACATGAAACTGAACCAAAGAAACCTATAACACCTGATGAGCCAATGCTGTTGCATGCATCACTCATTTTTCACAAGAAATTTATGATTTCTGTAAACTCACTTTCAAGGCACCTATGGTTGGAAGGAAAGAGCTTAATTTTCTTTTCTAACTCAATCTTTAGCATATCCCTTCTCTGTTGGTTACTTCATCAAAAGTACTGGAACTTCAAATTGGGATGTTAACTTCTGTAGAAATAAACTTCAAATTAGAATTTAGCTAAGTAGAAATAACGTTTACTAATATGACTTGATTAGATTGGCTCTTTGTGGAACAGAAGAGAGCTTTTACATGGGGATGTTAAAAAAGAAAGGAAGAGGGCCAGCCAGGTGGCATGGTAGTTGGGTTCCCACGCTCCACTTCTGCACCCTAAGGTTCACGGGTTCAGATCCTGGGCACGGACTTACACACTGCTCATCAAGCCACGTTGTGGCAGCATCCCACATACAAAATAGAGGAAGATTGGCACAGATGTTGGCTCAGTGACAATCTTCCTCAAGCAAAAAGAGGGAGACTGGCAACAGATGTTAGCTCAGAGCCAATCTTCCTCACCAAAGGAAAAAAAAAGGAAGGAAGCAAGGACAATACATTAGATTTGGACATGCTCCAGTTATGCTGCAGTGAAGAATAAGAGCAGAGGGCAATTGTGCATGAATAAAAATATCTCTGACTCAGACACGGAAATATCTTGGTATCTAGACACCCAACTATTTAGGCTGTGAGGTTAGGAGAGGCAGGTCTAACTCCCAAGACTGGGCTGCAAGGAATGCTTAGGAAGAAGAGGCATGTCAAGAGGCCAGTTCTGCCTGCACCTGAGACAGCCTCCACCCTTCACCACTGAGAAATACAGACTTCTTCACAGTATTAATGTAGGACCCATCCAAAGGATCTAGGTAATTTGGATCCTTGCCTGGGAAGGAGGAGACAAAGCAGGAACACACTTGTGTGTGTGTGTGTGTGTGTGTTAAGTTGGTATGTCTTTCTGTCTGTCTGTCTGTCTCTGTCTATACCTTATAGGGGAGACCATACATAGAGTAAATACATTTATAAATGTGGAAAAGGGAATATTGTTTTAACATTTCATATTATTTTATTGTTTTATTTATTTATTCATTGTTTTAACATTTCATATTACATTTTTATTTTGACTTTTGTAGAACTATGGAAAATCATCATTTTGAAGAAAAATAGAAATGCTGAGACTCTCTGGGTCAGAAGAAATGATGAATTTCACTTGCTAATCTAGACACCCTCAAGTGCAGTCCTTTCTACAATATCACTCAGCACCTAAAATTATTTGTAACAACAGGCATGATATATATTTATAAACTCAAATTTAAAAAATCTGATGAATGGTAATATATCCTATGATTAAATATTTCCAGTGATGGAGAACTCATTATTCATGAAATAGCTTTTCATTCAGACAACACTTATGGCTCAAAAATACTTCCTATGGTCCTGGAAATGACTTATGAAGAAATGTCCAAAGGATTTTTGATTATGAAGCACTATAAAATATTGTTGCTAACATTTCTAAGTCCAAAAAGATTTGAAGCTGGCCAAATGTAATAAATGCTCTTTATCACTGTAACACAACTAAAGTACCATTATTTAAACACTGTATTTTATCAAGTTTTTAATAACGAAGTGACTTTTACAAAACATTAAAACCTTATCTTAACAATGGAATATTATTCAGCTGTGAAAAGGAATGCAGTACTGATACATGCTACAACATGGGAGAACCTCAAAAACATTATGTTAAGTGAAAGAAGCCAAATACAAAAGGTCACATATTATATGATTCTGTTTAGATGAAATCTCCAGAACAGGCAGAAAGTAAATCAGTGTTTGGCTTGGGTTGGGTGGAGAGGAAATGGGGAGTAACTCTTCATGGGTACTGGGTTTCTTTTTGGAGTGATGAAAATGTTCTAGAATTAGATAGTGGTGATGATTGCACAACCTAAAAACCACTGAATTATCTTCCTTAAATGGGTGAATTTTATAGTATATGAATTATATCTCAATTTAAAAAACAATAACCATATCTTAAATCATAGATTTTAAATCAAAAATCATTTTGATAAGCATTGTTAGCCAAGGAACTCTGAACTCAATGAAGTGGCCAAAATGAATACTAACTTTAGCTTTGTAAAGTTTAGCTCTCTAAAAGTTATGCAGTGAGGGATACTGAATAATTTATGAATATGGATTTTACTAAAGAATCTCTCACTATATTTATGTTAATACTCTTTGATCCATGAAGAATTTTGATCCCCTTTTTATTTTACAGGGAGGGGTAGGTTTACTTCATATTATTTGTGCTTGTACTTATGAAAGATCAGGAAATTTGAAAACCACAAAGGGGTTCCTCAAAGAAAAACTGACAATTTAAACCTGTTATTATGTTTCATTTCAAATATCTCAGGGTTTCTTTAGGCTTAATCTAAAACATGTGCACTGTATTCTATCTATTTGAAATGCTTCTGTTTTATCAAATGACAATCACACATCCTACAAAAACTGAATTAGAATTTATCCGATGGCGGTTACTTTCAGAAAGATGATACTAAAGCACACACATGTTGACTTTTTCAGATTGTAACTTCAAAATATAATGTGTATAAGACATAATAGTTCCCTATAAATAGCTATAAAGAACTCCCAATTTGAAAAACAAAAAAACTGTGTGTATCATTACATTTTTCCCATAAAGACATATGAAATCTTACTTTATGCTTCAGAATAGGATTGAGGTCACTCTCATATAACGTTATTCAACTTCTGTACCCTAGTTTGTCACGTGGGAAATTGTGCATGTCTTGTCTCACTAGCAGTAGTGTAAGCTCCAAAGACTATATGTAAATCTTGATTTTTTTAGATTAAGCCCAATGATAATGTCTTCCATACAGATAGGGGCCTAAGACCTAATATATATTGACGATTCATTAATTAAGTTGCTTGCATTCCCCAATTCTCCATGGCAGAGTTTCTTTGTATGTATTTATAGTATACTGGACTGCCAAATGACCAAAAATTGCCATGAATTTTATAACGTTAATTATTACATAGATATCTATGAGTGTTATGACACATAGCTTTATTATGCACATACCTAATATGAAAAAAAAAATCACAATACTCACAGTTGTAACCAGGTGCAATACGGTGTTGAGCTTCAAGGCTAGCCAACGTGATGTGAAAAATGATGTGCAGCAACAGGAAGGAAAGACTGGTGAAGCACAGAGACTTTAATAACCGTCCCGTATGTCCTAGGGGATCAAAGAGCAGAGACTGTGAGAGAACTTCAGATGACACACTCATTCTGACCTTCCTAGAGTTCCACATGGAACATGTTTCTACATAATTTACTGTGTAGACTGATTCCAAAGTATATGACATAACAATTACTCTCCTATTTACTAGTCTAAAGCTAAAAGCTATTTTATGACCTTTGTAAAATTATACAATTAACATTGATAAAAAATTCATTGTAAAAGAAAGATGCTTCCCTATTCATCATACAATATGTTACCACAAAATGGAACCACAGATAGCGCCTGGCCCAGAAAATTTTATAAGGGAGTTCTGCCAGATTTGAAGGCACAGATAATCCCTATCTTATAAGAGTAGTTCCAAAGAGTAGAAAAAGAAGGACAGTTGCCTAAAACATTTTATGGAGTTAGAGTAATTTTAATTTCAAAATTAAATAAGGCTGGAAAAGAAAAGGAAATTATAAGCCTGTTTTACTTATGGACATAGACACAAATTATTAAAAAAGATAATTGCTAACCAACTGAAATAGCATAGTAAAAATATAATACACCATAATAAACTAGGGTTTATTGCAAAAAAACACGTTTGGTTTACTATTAATAAATCTATAAGTGTAAGTCACACAGTAGTGGGCTGATATCATGATTTTCTCAATGGATACAGGAGAAGCATCTCATAAAGTTCAAAATCTGTTTATGATTAAAGAAAACAACACTCAGAAAACTAGGAATAGAAGGAAATATTCTTACTATGATAAAGGATTTATACCATAACTAAAGCAAACATCCTGTTTGTGGTGGACTTTTAGACACAGCCCCGTTAATGTCAGAGAATGATCAAGGACACTTGATACCTTTGCCACTTAACATATCACTGGGAGTCCTGGCCAATGTCATAAGATAAGAAAAAGAATGAAGAGTTGTAATACCTAGAATTATTTGCAGATAATATGATCGAATGGAATTATTTACAGATGATATTATCATCAATGTAGAAAGTGAAACTGAATCCATAGACCAACTATTAGAATAAATACAAGAAAACGATTCAGGTACAGTATCATCTTACAAAAGTCAATATAGCTCCTCTACATTAGCAACAATCAAATGGAAAATAAGATACCACTTAAATTAGCAACCAAAACCATATTGTAATAGTTTTGCCAGTGTTTCAGTTTGGCTAGGCTACAGTCCTCGGTTATTTAATCCAACACTAATTTGGATGTTTTTGTGAGTTTACAGAAGTGATTGAAGTCCACTGCCAACTGACTTCAAGTAAGGATATCATCCTTGATAATCCGGGCAGGCCTGATTCAATCAGCTGGAAGGCCTGAAAACCAGGCTGAGAGGGAAGGAGGAGAGAGAAAAAGCAAGGAAAAGCTGCCCCTGTGGACAGCAGCTTCAGCCGGTGCCCATGAGCTCCAGCTTGCCCGTGACCAGGACCTGCCCTTCCTGACAGCCTACCCCATGGATCTTGGACTTTCTCAGCTGGCTTGCATAATCAATGGTGCAAGCCAATTCCTTGTAATAAATCATATACAGAGATATATATAATGGATATATATAATCTCCTACACGTTGAACCTTGACTGATTACTGTATCTAAGAACTAACCTAAACAAAAAATGCACAAGATCTTTATGGACAAAATTATAAAACTCAACAGAAAAACAAATAACAAGACCTGAATAAATGAAGGGATATGCCACATTCATGAATGAGACGACTTAATATGATAAAATGACAATTTTTCCAAAATTTAGTCTACAAATTCAATGCAACTTGAATAAAATACCAGTAGGAACTTTCAGATCTTCAACAAACATATTTCAAAATATATATAAAAAGATTTTTTGAGGAATTCAACAAACTTATTTTAGAAATATGTTTGGAAGAAAGAAGTCTATGAATTGCCAGGTCAATTTTGAAATTTTGAAAAAGATCGAGTGGGTGAGGTTTGCATGTCCTAGCAGACATTAAGATATCCTATAAACCCATGAGTTAAAATAAAACAAACAGAAACTTAAGATTCCTTATGGAGAGAAAAAAAAGTTAAATGGAATACCATACAGAGCTCAGAAGAAATCAACTTATTTATATAAACTTGATAAATGTCAAACTTGACCCCACAGGTCAGGAGGAAAAGGATAGGCTATCTAGCAGATAAAAACCGACTCAATAAATACAGACAAAAATAATGTTGGATCCCTGCCACAAAGGTGACCTCTAGCTGAATAAAGACCTAAATGTGGAAGATAAAATTCTAAAGTTAATAGGTGAAAATACGGGATAATAACTTGATGCCTTTGCTGTGGGGATTGCCTTCTAAAACAAGGCCCCAAAACATAAACTATAAGACAAAAAAAGATGAATTTGACTGCATTAAAATTGAAGATTCAACAAATGCCACTATAAATAAAATTCACAGACAGATGATTAGTTGAGACATCTAAGATGTACATGAGATTAACATTTAGAATAGATAAAGAATGGCTACATATCAACAAGAAGAAAGCAGGTCAACCAAGAAGTGGACAAAATGTCTAAACAAGCATCTTACAAGGGAAAACCTGAGTGGACAACACGTTTATACAGAGAAGCTAAAGCCATCAGTAGAGAAATTATAACAGAAATGAGCTAACATTTTAGACCCATCATACTAGCAAAAGTTATAAAAATTCAAAATATTGAGTTTTTGTGAAGGGAAACAATGTTTTCGTAGTAGTGTGAAATTGGTAGAGCCTTTCTGGTGGTCAGTACTTAAGGAGGCCGAAATTCTCTGACTTAGTAATCACACTCTGAGTTATAACCTCCAGAGAAATGTTTGCAACAGGCCTACATGGGGACTTGAGTAACGACATTCATCACATCATTGTCTGTAGTAGCAGAGAATTGGAGATATTCTAATTTTCCACCACTGAAGGGATGGCTATGTTACAATGTGGTGAATGTGAGTCTTGAAATATTTGCACCATTAGGTGCGTTAAGGTAGAAGAATATGGAACAACATAGCTGGGTCTTAAAAACACAGGTTAAAAATAGCAAGAAACAACATGAGACACATGGCACAGCATAATGCAGATAAATTAAGAACACAGATGTGGATAAAATGACATATATGTTTAACAAATATGTTTATGTGTATTTAACATGTGTGTTTGATACATATGAGGAGGTAGAAAATGGGAATGAGAATTGAGTATGAACAAGAGTAAATCAATAAAACAAGAGAAGCTCTTTGGCTAATCCTATAATAAAACTATTCGGTGAATTGAAGAGTAAATTGTTTCAACTCTCTTCACCCAGAGATGGGGGGCACTAGATAAATATTGGACTAGATGACCAACACTCTGGTCCTTGGTCTGCCAACTTTGGGGAACTGATTAGACAAGTTCCCAGGCCTTTGAAATTCTAAAATTTTATATATAAATAAAATTAACTTATATGACAAATATATACATGATAAACATATGATATACTTACGAATTTATGTATTTATAAATATATTTTTAATTGGTATTTACATAATGATAAATATAAGCAATATACATGATAAACATATGATATATTTACGAATTTATGTATTTATAAATATATTTTATATTGGTATTTACATAATGATAAATATAAGCAATATACGTATATATGTATAATTTTATATTCAAATATACATGTGTAAACACACTGATTTTTAAGATCTAACTAGAAGTTACATTATCTCATTTTGACATAAAATCCTACTTTAGTGGTAAGAAAACTGCTTTACATACTCTAAATGACTTGATTACTAACCTGGTGTCAGGAAAGAAAACTGAAAAGTTCACCTAAAATATTGAGATACCATAAATTGAATGTCTCTCGGGTCTACATTCAACAAACCCATACCGGAGAGAGTGATTTCTCAGTAGCCCAAGGGAAATTACCATTAAAATCTGTGCAATATTTAGCTGTGAAGCCAAGCCGTATCATGAGAAACCACACATCTCATTTCTGACCCTTTTCAACACTGTGTTAACCACCCCAGTCCATCGCCGTGGTAACTCTCCCCAGGCTCTGAGCTCAGGGTATTTATCTTTGCGTTTCTAATGGTGACTCGAAAGCCTCAGTGTGCGCGCGGCTCACATGGACTGAGAGCAGAGGAGCCCATAAAATGCCCTCAGGAAAAACATGTCATTGCCATAAGAAATGAAGCCTAGAAGTCTAACGTGTCATAAACATAAAGAAAAATATAATTTAAATGTGTATTTCATTCTATAATGCATTTTCTTTATATTTTCCTAACTTGACATAATATAGTTTGGCACGTGGTCAGTCACTTAAATAAAAACGTAGCTTAATGAAACTGAATTTTATTAGCCTTTTAAGAAAACGAAAAGTTTAAAATAAATGGAAGCAGAAAGCAAGGGAATTAGTCTTTTGATTTGTTCTCAATCCTACTGTAGTTTTTATTGCTTTCATTGGGGACAACTAATCCTAACACACAGATAGAATTTTCTCAAGATCAGTCAAATAATGTATAATTATGTTATACAAATTATTAAGTTTTGCTTGTCAAGTACTCCCTATAGTAACATTTCCTGAGTGCAAAGGGATGGATACATATTGGAGATATTCTAATATATATTTACATAGATATATTTAATCAAGGTAAAATTCACATAACATAAAATTAACTGTTTTAAAGTGAAAAATTCAGTGGCATTTAGTATATTTACAATGTTGCACAACCTTTGCCTCTATCTACTTCCAAAACATTCATCACTAAAAGCACCCATTAAGCAGTTATTCTCCATTCCCCCTCCTCCTTACCCCTGGCAACCACAAGTCAGCTTTCTGTCTCTATGGATATTTCATTTAAATGTTATCATGCAATATGTGGCCTTTTGTGTCTGGCTTCTTTTCACTTAGCATAATGTTCTCAAGGTTCATCCATATTGTAGCCTGTGTCAGTACTTCGTTCTTTATATGGCTGACTCATTCCATTGCATGTATGAACA